TGCTGCCGGCAGCACCCAGGGCCTGCTCCCACCAGTTCCTCCTGGGCAGCCCCATGGCCAGGGGACAGCACGGAGCTGGCAGCGTTCCCTCAGCCCCACTAATCCTCTTGGGCCAGGAGCCGGGGGCTAACGGCCTCCCCCTGACAGCACGGGTGCCCTGGAAGGGGCCGGGAGGGCCCAGCCACGGAGCTGTGGCTGGCGGCTCCCAACTGGGGCACGGCAGCAGCCTGGTACCCCCCCCACACCACTCTTCTCCCCTTTTCCACCCCAATGCTCCTTGTAACACCAACACCTCCCCACAAAGACCAGCCACAAGGGAACGTGTCCATGAAGGAGCCAGGCACGTCGCCCCTGGTTTGTCTTTAGCTCTAGCAAGGGGGATAAACAATAAATTTGCTGACACCGGGCTGGGAGATGGACTGTACACCCCGAGCATTACGAAAAGCATCCTTTGAGAACACGTTAAAGCAGGAAAATAAATGCCAGCTCGTGTCGGGATGCAGATGCTGTGTGGCAGGGACACGGCACTGCCACAGGTCCCAGCCTTGTGCTGGGGAGCAGCAGCGGCCTCCGACCAGACGTGTCCCAGCTCCTGTTTCAGGCTGGTTAATTAGGCAAAGGGGCAGCCTGCCACGCTCATTTAGTGGCACAACATGCGCAGTTCATTTGTTCCTTAACACAAAACCACCGGAGTCAATTGGGGTCAGCTGGGGTTACTGGGAGCGCGTCACGCAGGGCAGGGCATCACGCTGCAGGCCAGCTCTTGCCACATCACTCGCATCCGTAGCAGGCGCTGATTTAAGGCAGGATGCCTTAAATCCTAGCAAAACGGCCCTGCGGCTGCCTGCCTGCAATGGAAACCTCTTTCCTACCTGCACACCTCCAGGCTGGGGCAGGGGGGAGTGCCCGAAAGCGCCAGCTCTGACTTGGTGGGCAGACCACCAGGAGCTGGAGCCAGCAGCCGGGCTCCTGGAGGAAGTGTGGCGAGGTGGGAGGAAGCTCCAGGCACCTCTACTTCTGGTTAGTCACGTAAATAACTTATTTAAAGCTGTGTAACGTGTAGCAGGGCAAGCAAGAGAACTGGACAGTGCACATTTGGGTTCCCTCACCACTGCAGCTCCTTCTGTCCACTGGTCAGCCACAGCCTCTGGTGCCCACAGGCTGCCACAGCCCACACCTTGTCCTGGGATGTGCTGCCACAACACCACACTTGTGCCTGGACTGCAGGCTGACCTCCTCAGGAGTCCTGGGCTCTCAGTCCTCACCATCACCCTCTGACCGTGCCCCAGAGCTCTCCAAGGCTCAAGGCCCCGCAGCGCATCCCACAGCAGCTCTGGCCTGGTGCTTGCAGCCAGAGTGAGCTACGCCAGCACAAAACCAAGGAGGAAAGCTCAAGGCACCTTCGAGATCTGCATAAAAATCCTGCCTCTGGATACAGGCAAGGAGGAGAGCTGTATACAAATGCAAGGCTTTTATGGAAGAGACACAGCCCTGACCTTTTCAGCCTTCTAACACCATCAAAGATCTTTTGCTGGCGGATGAAAGAGCGGCACTAATTCAATGGCCAGATCCCAACACATCCAAAAACCGTGGTGGCTTCTCACCCAGGTTTGTGAGAGCAGCCGCAGCTTAGCAACAATGACTGAAATACCTGCTGGCCCATGACAAACGTGAGCAGAAGAGCTTCCAGCACAGACGGTGACAACAGAGACAGCCCCAGCCCCGTACATAATGATGAGATCTGGGGAAAAAAACCTTGTCTGCTCCTTTTCTCACCTGGTACCACCTGGAAATGAAGGGAACCAGTTCCTTCGGTGGCTCAGCACCTATGCAACTCATCTGATGACTCCACAGAAAACAGCATTTTTACTCTTTTTTTTTTTAATCTTTCGTTAGGTTTGAATGCACTCAGCTGAATGCATCACTGGGGAGATGCAGCTTTGCTGTGCCACAGCAGAGGGTGGGAGGGGACAACAGGGACCCAGAGCCTCCGGCTCCATCTGTAGAGCAGGCGTGGGACGGGTCTGAAAATATCACAGGTAAGCAGTGATGGTTCCAAGAGAAACCTGAAGTTTGAGGGGACTGCAGACAGGGGCAGAAGCCTCTCCTGCTCCTCCACTCGCTGGCCCCACTGTCCCTGGGGACTGCCCCTGGCAGAGGCTGGGGGCCAAGGGGCTCCCAGTGATGCTGTTTGTCCCGAGCATCGTGTGTGATGCCACCATGGAACTGGGGTCTCTGCCAGGACGCAGTGCTGCTGGCACGTCCCTCAGCTCCCACCCAAGGTGTCCCATGCACGCAGACGTGCCACCCAGCCCTGCCACGAGCACGGGGCTCAGCCTGGGCGATGCTCTCCACTACGCCGTGACAGTTTGTGCTGATACTTGCGGAGAAATCTCCTTTAGTGGAAGTCGGTCCGTGCTCCCCTGGCGGTACAGATGACCTAGTTAGTGAAAACACGTGTCCTGTTTAAGGAAGGACACATTATTTAGGGTTTTTCCCCAGTCCCCAAGGGGTTACGTGGCTTTGCAATGAAGCTGTCAATGCACGCAGCCCACCTCGCTGTGACCAAGCCTCAGCAGCCCGCAGTGACAATGCAACTATCTGCAGAAAACACTCTTCTAGCACTGTTCTGCTGCAAAACTCCATCCTTCCTCCGAAAACCAGGCCACGACAGCCTGTGCCTTCTTCTCCTCCCCCTTGGTGTGACTCACTCCGCCTGAAGCCAGGGAGGAAGGCTCTGCCCAGGCTGCAGGGTACCGCCCGGGGCTGCCCAGCCTTCAGCACAGGCTCCTCTGAATATCAGCAGAGCCAGGCTCAAACGTCCTCATTAGCTTTCACAGAACCTCCAACAGCAGTTTGCAGTCAAGGTCCTAATTCGTAAAGCAATTAATGGATCAAACCTCGCTACTTCAAAGAGTGAGCTCTGCGATTTGTGTACAATTCTTGAAGCTTGGGACAAGCTTGTGCGAGCTGCAGGCAAAACACTTCCACTCAGAGGATAAGACCACAGAGCAATTTTCTAAGAAGATCAAGCAAACCTAAAGCCTGACAGTATTAAAAGATCTTACAATGTCCCCCCCTCCCTTTTTTTTTTCCAGAAAGTTTAAGAACATTCACAGCTCAAGTGTTGCATTTATTCCCCAACTCTTAAAAAAATAATTTTGCATCAGCCAACCCATCTATTCTAAGCCAGATTCTCACTCTAGATATCCAAGACCACTGCCGGGGAGAGGCTACCTGCCCCTCAGCCACCTTTCCACGGTACCTGCGCAGAGCACCACGTCAGCAGCTACAACCCAAGCCCAAAATAACACTCTGTGCCACAACGGGAGCATGCTACGGCCATTTCATCCACGTGTGCGTTTTCTGAAACTCATCCTGGAAACTCATCCTTGCCCAAGAGCACACCGAGACTGAGCTTCAGCCCTGCGCAAGGGACTGCACAAAGCCTGGACACCTTTTCTCACCAAAATCCTCAGGATAGGAAAGAAGCAGTGCTTTACTGGTACCCAGCCTAACTCTGCTCACGTTATGCCTGATGAAAACACCGTGCTCCAGACCAAGCAGTCTTCAGCTCATTTTCATCGAGCACTATAGCTGCGGGTCTCATCCCAGCACCCAAAGTAACGCCAATTTCCACACAGCTCCGTTACAAAGCAGTCATTTTGTGCTGGGAAGGTTGCTGCTGTTCCCACTCTCGCCACACAAACCCGTCTGAGATTCGCCCTTTTAGGACAGAACTGGTAGGAAGGAGCAGAGCATTTGTGCCGAAAAGCGAGTGGCGTGAAAGGGGTGCTGCTCCACGCCTCTGCGTCCAGAGCTTCGGGAAGGGGAGAACATTGCTGCCTGTAATTGAAACTGCAGGGAGGAGTTAGGGACATAAAATGTAATTATCCACGGTGGAACGGAGCCAAGATTAGCAATCCTGCTTCTGGCCATTTGAAGTCCCCATTAACTTTTCCGCATGCTGATGGTGTTGGTTTTGTGTCTTGCCGGCTGCTAAATGCAGCACTTCCAGAAGCAAGCCACGGGCACCCACCCGTAAGGGTCTTGAATCACCTGGAGAGGGGGAGGTGAGGGTCTAGACTTCAGCCAAGGCCTTCTCCAAGTGTGTGTGAGATCTCCCTCCCTACTGCCACAGGGGGACGACGAGCTATGGGCACAGCTGCACCAGTTGCACCACGCTCCTGTAGAGCTGAGGCAGCTCGGAGCTGGCTCAGGTTCCTGTTTGGGTGCTCTGGGTGGGCACCACCATTCAGAGCCTTCCCAGACCCCAGCGGGTGGGACTGGGTGGCCTTCAGCCCACCTCGGCCTCCTCCTCCTCCTCTCCTTGCACTCCACCCCAGCGGGCTGCACAGCACCCAGCTGTTTGTGCCCCTAGAGCCATGCACAGCCTGTTCCCTCACACCGTACCCAGGCACCACAGAGAGGGGAACAGGAGCAGAAAGCATTGCCAGGGGTGCCCGGCTCTGCTCCTCACGTGAAATTGGTACAAAATCTGTACGTTTGTGTGAAATCCTCGCTGCAGAGCGGTGAAGATTTACCAGGCGATCCAGAGCCTGTTTGCAGCGAGTCCCTTCCACCCTCACAAACCAAACCGGCCCAGTCCTGGCACCGACACGGTGCCGGCTGCAGCCTCCCACGTTCCCTCCCCGGCTTTTCTCCCGGCAGCCCTCCCCTCCCGATTCTCAGGGCTCTTTTCCCGTGGAGCCTTTTCCCTCGCCTCCATCCACACCTGACTTTTGGGACTGTCACCGCCCCGCAGCACCTCCTGCCTCCCGGTGCCCTGTCTGCTCACCGCTTCAGCCCACGGGAAGCGCACAGAGAACACAGGACATTGCTGCACCCCTGGCACTGCTCTCACCACGGGGAGATCTGAGCTTTGCATGCACCTCATTTGCTTCTGCCCGGGGTTTCGTACAGCCTCTGATGGAAAATGCATCGCGTTTTCCCCATTTTTAGCGACCAGAGAGCGCCAGAAGCCCTGCGAGCCCCCTTACCTCCACCAGATGGGGTGTCGGGTTGAAGCCACACATGTTGCACACCTGCTGCCGACAGCTCGTGCAGGCGTTGTAGTTGGGGGGCTCGCCGGAGCCCACGTTGATCTCCGCCTTGCAGAGGGGGCACAAGACCCTGGCTTTCGGCACTTCCTTTGGCTTAACGCCCGGCTCCGGTTTGCCTGCTTTGGCGGCCGGCGCAGCCCCAGCCCGGCTCTGCGCCCCCGGGGCTTTGGGACCAGCTTCCTTGCTGGCGTCGCTGAAGACGATTTTTGGAGGCACTTTGCCAGAAGACTGCTGACTTGGAGCGGGGGCCTCCGGCTGGACAGACATGAGCGTGCTCGCCTGGGTCAGGAGGGAAGCTCCGAAGCCGAAGAGCTTCCCCGTGAGCCCCTCCTGGGGTTGTTCAGGAGCCCCAGCTCCAGGGGCGGGGGGTTTGGGGTCTCCCACCGCCTTTCTCTGCTCGGAGGAGGAAGGTTTTGCTTGATGGTGCTGCGGGGAGGACCTTGCCGCTTCCTGAGGAGCGGCGGCTTTTGGCTGGCCGTGCTGCTCCCTCTGCGGTGCAGCCGTCTGCGGCTTGGGGGTCTCCGGCAGTGGGACAGCGGCGGTGGCACCAGGACGGGCGCTTGTCTGGGGGGGTGCCGGGGTCTTCTCCTGGCCCGCCGGGAGCTTGGCTGGGGAGTGGGACGGAGACGGCGAGGGGGAGTGCAGCTGCTGCTGGCTTTTGGAGCGCGGGGCAGTGGTCATGTCCATCCCCAGCGCCCTCTGCATCTGGCAGTTCAGGCACAACCATTCCTTCACCTGTGGGGCAAGAAGAGGACACGGGGCGGTCAGCAAGCAGGGCGCAGCCAGCACGTGCACCACCAGGCCATGGCTAACGAGCTCTGTAAGCAAAATCCTCTGTAGCTAAGTCATCACCCTCCCCCCCCCAAAAAAAAAAACAAACAGGCAAACATTTCAGCACTGTGTTCTTCGCAAAAGTATCTTGCAGTCATGGGGAACAGACCCCATCTGTCACAGGTACCTACAGCATAACAGGCATGTGCTGAAGCAGGCTTTAATTAGCTTTGTTTTGCTTCCAAGGCTTCTGCTGCAAAGCTCTTGCTAGCTATAAGGCCTGCGTCCCCCCAGCTCTCTCCTGGTGGAAGTGGGCTCTCGATGAGGGTGCTGGAGGATGAAGGGCCTGGAAGCCCACTGCTCTTGCTTGGGGCCTCCCTAACCCCATGAAACCTCCTCCCAAGCCTGCGCCCTTCAAGGCAAGCGAATGGCATCTACAAGCAGTCCAGAAAACAGCCAGGGCCAGCTCTGGGGTGAGCACAGGACCTGCAGAAGGTCCAGGGATACCAGGGGCAGCAGGAGCAGCTTCTCCACAAGGCATCAGCTCCACTGGGTGGGCACAACACCGGCTTGGGAGTGAGAGGTTAATTCCCACTCCTACAAGGACAAACCAGAGGATGCAAATGAAAAACGTAGTGCTCCCTGGCTAAGTGGAGATAAATGAAAGACTTCCCCCCTTGAGAGACGTTCCCTGTGACACACTAATGTCTGAATTAAGTTAATTAAAAGGCCGTATGAAAGCTGCGAGCCTTCTAATATGAGGAATCCCCGGGATGCTCTGCAGCTATGCAAATATTAACGTATAGCACAGGATAACCAGGTCTGCTTGCAGAAGATTTCCCCAAGAAAAGCAAAGCACGGGGCCAAAAAGAACCAAAGCGTTCTCCAGCTCTGCTCCATCTCCTGTCCCTGGGTCTCCAAAGCTTCTCAGACCTCGTCTCTCCTGCTCACCCAGTCCGTCCTCCTGCCCCTCAGCGATGTGACCACGTGCAAGGGGTGCTGCCTGCTGCCCAAAGCACCACCCGACGTGAACCACCCCAACCGCATCCTCCCCAGTTAGCCACATCGCACGGGGCTGCTACAGCCACTGATATTTATTAGACTTCATAACTTCTTACAGTTTTGCCTTCACTATTCTGGGCCACAAACTGAAGATGTGCAGAACTCCTCACGTTATTTTTGCATTCTTGTCCCTCGGCGTTTTTCCCCGCTGCGCTATTTCAGGAGAGTGGCTCCTGAACTCCCAGCAGCTTTGCGTGCTATCCCCATCAGCTCTGATTAAGGGAGAACCAATCCTTTCTATTCAGGTTCTCTCTCCCCCACAAAGTTCCCAGTATCTAAGAAATGCAAATCTTCCCTCTCTGCGTAATCTTCTTATCCACACTTTAAGACCCTAGGGCTAGGTAGAAAGTGGGGAAAGAGCAGATCTCCACTGTGCAGAAGTGCTCCCTGACACCAGGAGGTCCCCCCGTTTCCTGATGGCCACGAAAGCAGAGTATGAGTCAGGGACAAGCCACCAGGACAGTCCTGAGCTCAGCAGCTTGGGAACAATGGGATAATTGAAGCTTTTTCACTTAAATCTGGTTCATGTGCATGCCTGCGAGCTCACTTGCATGTGTACATGCATACAATCAATGGTGCTTTGCAACCAAGATGGGAGAAGAAAAGCACTCCAATCAGACAGAAGTGACCAAATAGTTATCAGTGTTTTGGCGAGCACACGCTGAGGAATACTGAGGAGAAAACTCGAGGGGGTACAGCGGTGTGGTGGGCTCCCCGTGTGAATGTCTGAGATCTGATTTCATCTGGGGCTACCGCACTGCCTGGCCAGCCTCTCCGCGACGTGTGGCCTACGCAGATCAAAGACAACTGAAAGGATCCTGGAAGAGTGAAGGTTGCTAACCCAACCCCTGGAAGTCTTGATTTGGCGGACTACTGGGTGGTTAAGACCCAAACATATGAAACGAGGGACGACTTGGCTGGCTTGCATCACCTTCCTCTGCATGGTCCCCTTTTTGCCTGCCGACCAACCACGGAGGGGTGGAAGATGCACAGGAAACATGACAGAAACAGAGGCAGGAACATGGAAAGAAGTTTTCCTACTACTTCTACCTTAGTGCCAACAGTCTGGGTAAGCAGCAAAATGAAACGCCCATCAAGGAGAAGAGGAAAACCTAACAAGGTCAAAAACTCAAGGTCCAGCTCCCATCACTGGGATGCTGAAGTCACCACTACGCTCTGAAGTACCAAGAAACAAAGTTGTGCTTCCGTGAACAGCCTTGGACTGGCCGTGCAGAGCATGCTAGTCACCTTCACCTGAGGAAATCTGACATCAGAAACACCAATAAATTCAAAGGAAATTGGAGTGTAAATGATGATTCTGAAACAGAACCAACCCCTCAACAGGGAGTGAACGAGGCTGGCTAAAAGGGAAGGTGACTGCTGTGCAAAAAAAAAAAAGGTGGGGGCACAATTGGAAATATAAAATCAACAATTATCAGGCCTCAGCACACCAATATCAACTGATGGAAACGAGAAACTGTGAAGTACAAAAACTGTATGAAAACACGGCAACTTCATGAAAAAGTCTGTTGGGGAGCAGCAGAAAGCATTTATCGCGTGCATCAGGGACAGAGGCTACCCGAGGAAGGACACAGGTCTGTTACTGGATGCAGCAGGTAACGCTCCTAATGAGAAAGATACGGTGGAAGTGCGATAATTACTGCTGGTAAACATTTGGAAAGAAGCGGGATAATACTCATCTCAAGGATGAAGCATTTCCAACTTATTAGCAATTGAGACGAACGTTCAACAACATCTACCAGCACTAAGGATATTTAAATTTGGCAGATCTGAATAATTCTGCATCCAAAAGATCTGAGAGAGCTAAGAAAACTGCTGCATGCTGATGTTAATCTTTAAGTGCACTGAGGGAATTTTAGAAGACTGAAAGAGTCTTCTGCTTAAATACCAAGCCAGCAAGGGTATGACCTGCACAGGCCAGCCAGCCATCTCTCTAAGACAGAAAGATGACACTGGAGTCACGCAGCAGAGAACTGAAGGGCAAGCATATATGCCAGTCAACGTGGTTTTAGGGAAAATAGGTCACGGAAAGCAAACCTGATTTTATTCTCTGCTGAGAATGCAGATTTGGTATTAGTAATGAATGGAAGCAATAAACACGATGTCCAAAAGGTGGTTTAACCTCATAGTAAGTGACATGCTGACAAAAAAAAAAAAAAAAAAAAAAAAGCCCTATAAAATACTGAATGTGCTAAATGGATTTCAGAGCAGTTACCTGGCAGACCTGGAGGACAACAAGGGCTTACCACTGCTTAGGTACCTCTGTAGTAGGGTCCTGATCTCGCTGTGGCAATATCGCCACATCACAGGGTTCGGTATAGCAATATATATGGGTGCAGCCGAGCCTCTGCTTCCTGCAAACCTGAGCTGGCTCCATGCGGTGGCACGAAGCTGGAGGTGGGAATACGGAGGTGGCTCAGCCTCTGCTTCCAGCACCGAGGGAGCCGTTCCAGAACCGTGAACGGTTCAACACCGACATTTAAAAAACATTAGTACAACTCTGCAAAAGATATAGACCGGATCTGTAAAAGCAATTTTAGGAGAAAATGTCTGAAATGAGAGAATTAAAGAGGTTGATCTTTTTAGTTTATCAAAGAGAAGATTAAGAAGTGACTTGATTACGACAGAGCTGCACATTCAGAGGAAACAATATCAGGTACTAAAAGGTTCTTAATTAGGCATAAAAAGGCATAAAAAGAACTAATGACTGGAAATGGAAGCCAAATATATTAAGCATCATTTTTAACAGCAGATGTTTCTAGCCATTAAAGCAAATTATACACATGCTGTTGGGCTCGGTACAAGGCTCACGGAGGTAAAACTTACAAGGCCTTTCGTCTCTAGGGGCCTTAGTGCCCAAACTCATCTCACCAGCTTTGAAAGTTTGAACCACCCGGTGCCACGGGATGCACGGGGGGCAAATCCTGACCCTCTGCAGGTGGGCTCAGTACAGGGGAGCGGCACTTTGCAGAGGTACGCAGGGAGGGCCAACACGCGGCCCTGCGTGCTGCAGATCACCAGGCCCCCTAGAACAACCCCCAGGAAGCCGCCCAAGTAAAAGTGACTCAATATGAAATGGTGGTGGAGAGGGTTGTTGAGCTCAGGGGGCTTCCACTGTTATCCTGCCACCAGCTCTTTTAGGGAGTTGTGTGGAGACAGCCTGCCCCCCGGCTCTGTTAGCAGGAGAGGATCTCCTCAGGATCTCCTGAGGTAGGACAACGTGGCCGTGAAGGCCTCCCAAGCACAGTAGGCAAGAGCTTTAAAGTGAGCTGCAGACGAAGGCTTCAAGCAAACACCCACGATCTCTCTGAGCCAAAATTTAGGATCATAAAGAAGAATAATTCCATCCTTACCACAGATTGGCTATTTGGGACTGTTTGGAGGTGACACAGAAGGCTGTCCCACTGGACAAGCGGAGGAGGACAGGAGAGCATTAGATTTGAGATTTGGGAGACTTGGTGGCTCCTGACCAGCTCTGCCCATTTACACCTCCCTGCAGCCACAGCTCTCCATACAGGAGGCCATTGGGCACGTCAGGAGCACAGTTACTTGTCTGAAAGGGTTATTTTGGGCTGCCACTAGCAGCCTCCACGTGATCTCAAGCAAGAGGTCCCATGCAGGTTGGCCACTTTGAACAGGACAGAGAGAGACACAGCCTGCCCTCCTTTCCCAGCATGAGGAAACTGGGTGCACAGCCAGCTGAAAAACGGGACAAGTTCATTGTCAAGCAAAGGAAAGGAACGTGGGTTTGCTCCAAGTTGTCCAAAATGCGTATTTAACATTCTACGTATTTGAAAATCCTGGAAAAATGCATTTGGGAACTGCAAGGCAGCAAGCAAGGAGCTTTCCAACTCCAGGCCTCCAGGAGCCCCAGCTCACAA